AGGAGCTTCTGCTCACAGACAGGCCAGCAAGGAGCAGAGCAGCAGTGAGCACTGGAGCCCAGTGCACCTGACACCCCTGTATCCTCACTTCAGCCCCCAGACGTCTCCCGACTACACACCGGCCAACCGCAAAAAACGAAAACGCAGCTTGTCAAAACGGGAAAAAAAAGTTAGACAGGAAAAAACAACAGCTTTCACAGGTCGAGAGACAGGCTTCACAAGACTTCACCCAACAGTACATGTGCAACGCCAACCCACACCTGTGATGTTAAACATAATCATGACAAATGCTCTTAAATGCTCCGAGTACACCGTTTGTACAGTCGGCACGGGCTAAAGCAGTTTACACAGGCCCTTAAACACACCCCTTCCTCTCCTGGTGGATGTGGTGAAATCAAGAAATGGAAACAAAATCACAACTGTCAACAAATTTGAGAACACCCGTCATGTGGATTTCGTCTCGTGTCTTGTCTTCTTGCTTTTTGTGTTTGCGTTTTGACCAATACAGCAGCTTGGATCGACGCTGCAGAAAACGTAGACCGCCTAATCCCAGAGACCCAGATGATCACGGAGTTCAAGCCACTTCAGCGACAGCCCAGTCATGGGCAAGACTGGGGACTTAAGCCGGCTCCCCACCAAAGATAAAGCCTTTCATAACGAGGGCGTGGAAATGTGTTGAAACTGTAGGCAAGGCGGTCCAAGCACAGTAAACTGATGGACTGTAATCCGTCCAGTATCAGTCACTCTGATGTGCCAACGTGGACACATCAACGATCAGGTACCGGCATATACTGTACCTGAGCGTCTCTGGAAAACATCAAGCAGGACACATTCAAACCACACATTGTATTATTTAGAAAGTGCATTAGCTGCGGCATAGCAAAAATTGCTTTAAAACACGCCACTGAAAATCATCGGACCTCAACCAGACACGTCGTGGCACATCTGTAACAGCTGCAGGCTACAGATGCAGAACGAAACAATGCACCATCAAGATTTCTGTAAATATACGTTCAATGTCTTAATCGTATCTCCTTTGGCAACATTTAAACTCATCGGTCACGTCAATAAAGACTGGGAATTTGATTATTCATCTCTTAAAACACGAGCTTACTAAACTACAAAAGCAGTTTGATGCAGAAAAATAACGTAAGCGGGAATCAGCACTACAGTAAAACTGGCAACTCCGCTTCTTTAGGGGAATTTCGTTGTGCCAGCGAGCTCGAGTTGGGCCGCGGCCGGCTGCTGCGGCCCCAGCTTCGGGGTTCAGTAGCGACAGACACCGAGGCCGCAGAGGAAGAGTCCGGGTGAACACTAAAGACAGCTTACCGATAGCAAGAGTGACGAAGGATATCTGTATCACCAGAGAAAACCAGCTGAGTAAATAAATAAACCACATTTCCTCCCCTTCTTTCAAGACTATATAATACAGTACAAATACCACAAAAAAACGTGAAGGATAATGCGACTAAAATATTGAAACAAATCAAAGTTCCTCCCACTAGTCTCTTCGAGAGAAAAGAAGAGACACCATACAAAATATATTGATAGGCAACGACAATGACTGTAAAACCTTTATTGCCAACTACAGGTTAGGAGGATACATAGCACCCTCAACAGACCGCTCCGCAGGAAACCTCATAAACCCACTGCTGAAAACGCAGTTACTAAATTACAAATTTCCGTCCGTCCCCTTTCTTGCTGCTTCATCCAATACAGGGTCTCCGGGTAGCTGGAGCCTAATTAACAGTTTATATCACACAAATCTCATATACATACAGTTAAAGAGAAGATTATGTTTCTTTTAATTATCGTGTACGTTTTTTAATAAATCAACACCGTTCATTTACCGTTTTAAATTGCACTTCAAAACATTTATTGCGATTATTGTATTTTAATGAGCATAATCTCTGTATGTTACAAAGTGTTTTTCATGAAACATCACCTCAATACGATTTTAAAGTGAACCATTCAACATTATTTCTGAACACACACAGTACGCATACAGTAGTTTTTTTTAGCAGTCTTGTTTTTATTGATTTTCCTGGCACAGTTTCCTTGGTGGTTTGAAGAAATTACTTGTGTGCCACTGAACTGTGATCTAACACACAAGGAGAGACTGAGAAATCCTAGGCAGATATTACCAACGAGAGGGGGGCACACTGTTAGATTCAGCTTTATCTTTTATACTGGTGTAAACAGAGATAGAAAAAATATTGCCGAGTGGAAAAATGAATATGATGTCCTCCGTAATGCTGGTACATTTTATTCTGTTCAATAATTTTTCCTAATTCCTTCAATTCAACACCTCATACCCTAGCACGAGCCCTAGTCCTGCAGGAGCACCGTATCTCCTGGTTTTCATTCCAGCTAAGTTTTATATCCCCAGTGTGAACTGGTCTGCTCACTTGCTTATATTTGTATTGTACTTGTTTTTGTGGTCAGTTCTCAGCGTCAAAAACACCCGACTTCAACCATCCCGTTTCATCTTCAGCACACAAAAACTTTCACAGCTTCTCCTCAGCTACTTGTACTAAATAGCTATTGTGAGGTGATCAGATGATGAACAGGGACAGCTGGGATTGACACAGTATCAGATGCCCATACAAGGAGTGACATTGTATTGAATTGTAAACGTCTGTAAATGAATGCCTGTAGATTTTATATGTTAATTCTATTTGTTCTGCGTCGGCACTGACACTGATTTTACTCACTGGTCATGCCAATTAAGCATTATTTGAATAAAATTGAATTGTATCAGATACATCCACAGTGGGAGTGATCTTGTAATCAGACACGCCTGTAGTGGGACTGACTCTATATCAGACACGCCCACGGTGGGAGTGCCTCTGTATAAGACACACCCACAGCGGGAGTGACTCTGTGTCAGACACGCCCACAGTGAGCATTCTTCCCTGCTACAGGTCCAGTTGGTTACAACATTACTGCTGAAAGCAAATTTGCAAATATACCCAAAGTGCAAACTGAGCTCAATTAGACTGGATTAATAACTCAGCTGTGGCAAAAACCAGAAGAGACAGGGTTCTCACAGAGTTGAGACCCACTGAATCACTCAGCATTGCCACTGTGCCCTGGAATCTCACAGGAATAATCAGGTCACTTGGGGGAGATGCTCCCGTCTGTTAATTAGAAGCTACTTAAAAGCAGAGCAAATTGCTAATTTGATCCATTAGTTATCATATTGGATCCAAAACTGAATTTGTGCCTTAGTTAACCAACAAATCCCAAAGGGAATAAAATGTGTGTTTTAAGCAGGACCTAGGGTTGGGGGTGTCAGGGATAGGTGCCAGGCGTGGAGAAGAATCAGACACCAGACAGCCCACCTCAGCTGACTTTACACAGACCCAGGCTGCTTTCAGATTTCAATTTTACATTGGGATTAACATCCTGAGCTGAAGACGTCTGTGTTTTGGAAAAGAAAAGCAACAGTTGATCAATTGATCTATCGGTGGAGATGGCATCAGGTCAGTTGTCCACATGTTGCTGCAGTCACTCCCCTCTGCAGGTCTTTGTCGACCTCCTATCTTCAGTGCTTCTCCCAGCTCTCCATCCAGACAGACCCGGATGCACGGATTCGGGATGCCCTGTCCTCTTTGTTGGTTTTCCGACGGCGCTGGACAGGGTTACTGGAGTTCTCACCGGCGGGGGGCAGGGTGCTGTCTGCTGGGCTCGTGGGATGCAGGTCTGGAGGAGAGAGAGAGGTCAAGCAGGGCACCAGGATATTCTCCCTCTGTGACAGGCGAGCGGCAGTGCTGTACCAGTGAGAAGGAACACTTGCACTCTAATATTACCTGTCCCTCCAGTTTATTTATCAGTGATTCATTTATTCAAGTTGACAACATTTGTGGGAGTCTGGAACAAGCAACCCAGCCACACTGTTGAAGCCCAGTCCCTGGCCTCTTTCCAGAAACAGCTGGATCCATCAGCTGCTAAAAACCTAATGAGCTATTGGGAACATGACAGAGGCTTCTCACCAGGCTTTTCACACACAGGAAACACAGGCCTTGTTCTGTAGTCTGCACACCTTATTACTCTGAACACAAATGCAGTATAGCTGATATCTCTGTTCTAGTGCCAAACAACTTGTTTTAATGATCCTTAATGAGCCTTACCCTGTTGTTTGGGCTGGGGGGTGAAGTCCGACTCCTCTCCCATCACCCTCCTCCTCCTCTGCAGCACGGCCAGCAGCTCCTGTTCCCCTACCTTGCGGCTGCAAGCACGCCGGGATATCCTCTTCAGCTTGGACCGCTGGATGGAGCCCTGTGGAGAGCACACTCCCTCAGGAAAGACAGGGGCAGCCATCGCAGAGACACCCAGCTACCAGGCAAGCAGCCCATGCGATCAGACTGTTGGCCTGGAACACCGACACACTGTTCTGACAGGCTGGAAGCTGAGTTTCTTTGGTCTCGAGCAGACTGGACCTGTTTCCAGTGTTCAGAAGTTTCAAATTCATTGACAATGTCAACCCAGTCAACAGTGACATATTAAGGAGAGGAGACAGGTGGAAACTACATGGAAGTACATTGAAATCTGAGAACAGGAGGCTCTTCTCTACCCAAAGAGTGTGGGAGTGTAGAACAAGCTGCAGTAAATATCCCTGCTTCTTTCAAGAAACAAGTGGATGACATCCTTGGATCAGTGATTTACCAACTACCAGTGAGCTAGATTGGCTGAATGCCAACTAGGTATTTCAATCTAACACTCAGTTGTTGGATTGTGCAATGGACCTGTCTATCTTGCTTCGTTCACACGTATTTCAGCATTCAGAGCAGTTTGCAACAGAAGAACAAACCTAGATAACCTGCTATCTCTGCTTTAGGCCAGATTAGTGGGAACTGTTAGTTTATGGAAGTATATTTATGGAAAATGCACCAGCCAGACAATAAAAACCCCAGGTTTAAATTCCCTTTTGTTTTTTTCTCCAATGGCCAAGATTAAAGATGTCACATAAAACAGTCTAACCTACCAAGGACATTCCCTCTGCCATCAGGCGGCAGCTTCAGGTGGTGGAAGGGGTCTGGGCCCCTAACTGGAGCATCATCCCCAGGTATGAAGAACTTTACCCTTATTATGCTAGCCAGCTGTGCAATGTGCATGAGAAAACCTGGTAATAGTTATTTCTTTAGATAAAAGCCACAACCAAGTTAATAATGTAAGAAGTCTAAATAATGGATACTTAATGCATGCAAAGCTTCAGCTGTTTTGAAACAGACACAGGGGTATTGATTGTTTAGAGAATGCTCTTTGTCAGCTGAAGGCAAAAAGTGTACTACTGTATAGTACATTCACAGAAATTCACATTCACATTCAAACTTAACACAGTGGCTTCCCAGCCCAACTGGGACTGACCACTCCAACACGTTCTGATCCTCAGGGAGCGGATGGGACCAGAGCACAGCTTTTAAGCTCCCACATCGTGGGACAAGTTTCATCTTTTTTTCATCTAAGAAAAGCACAGAAATGAATCCCAGTTTTAAAGCAGGGCATCTAAGCAAATGGAAGACCGACTTTCTTACCAAAATCCCTTGCAATTCATTCACCACACTCTTTCGTTTTTCACTCATCTGATCCTGAAATAAAAAGACGTTTTAACAGAGTTTAACTTCATCCTCACCTATGGGAAGAAATTGTACCACATACACAGACTGCAGAACCTGTCATGACCACATCGTTTCCAGACAGCAGTGCAGAGCAGTGGCTAGGAGGCTGTACTCATAGAGTAGTTGGGTGGTTTAGGGTTTGAATCCTACAGTAGGTGAATTTCCTCTTTTTCTCTTTAATGAGGTACTTTACCTGAATTGTTCCAGTGAAATAGCCATCTGTGTAATGCGTGCAACAGCGTGCTGCTTCAGTTAAAAGCTCAGCTAAATTAATAAAACTCAGGGCAAGCGGGTAATGGAGATTTTCTTTTCCCTACCTACTGTACCTTACTGGGAGCTGGTTTTGATTCTCGTGTGACCAGCAAACAAAGAAAATAGTCAAACCAAACACTTAAACCATTGCAAGATTCTCTTCCCCCACATTACAAATGAATTGGCTCTAATTCCACCATGCATATTCGATTTGATTAGAAGAATTCCATGCAAAAAAATGCCCCTGAAAACATAATAAATCTGTTCTGAGAATGTAGAGTAAGCCTGCCATACAGAGGAGCACAGTTCCTGCCCCAGAGGGACTCACTCCAGCAGGTACAGAGGTGCCCTTGAGCCAACAACAGTTAAAACATCGTTATTAAACCTTATTAAAGGGTAATCCTTTATCAAAGGTCTTTAGCTGCTTTTGGCTCAAGTATAATGAGTCCAGTTAAACAGATGGTTATGAAGAGCTCAATCTGAGATAAAGACTAAAAGCAGTTTCATGCTGTGATGAGACACAGATCCATGTGAGCTGCACAGGGGGACCTGAGTGACATGTACTAGACTGAGCACTGGAACCATGATGTCAATCAGGGGTGCTGACCTTCCAGGCACTGTCCTCCTCTCCCACGACCTGGAACAGCAGGACAGAGGTGGAGGTTAGGGATACTGCACATCGTCAGATTGTTAATAGCTGTTCAAAAGGTCTAGAGAGTGCAGGGAGCTTTCAGTGTTTAAATTCTAGTGCTTCATCCTTCCCGGGATAACCTACAAAACATATAGTCCAAGAAGAGCTGGAAAGGTTGGCAAAACAAAGGCTTGTACCTTGTGTGACTTTGAGATGGATCTCAGCACGATCCCATTCTTGATGCGCTCCATCATCTCATTGACTGCCTGGGTCTTCACATCCAGTAGAGGCTGCTGAGCTGGGGGAAACACACACACGGACATGCACCTTAACAGAGCAACCCCAGCAGGGACACGGAGAGACTCGCGTGCAGAGGGAGGAGCTTCATGGGTAAAGACGTGACCCGTGCATCATCACACAGACAGACAGAGCCCTTTCAGCACTCTGACAGAGAGGCATCAGGCAGTATAGCAGTGATGGAGGAAGTCTCACTGTTTGATGGTGGGTTGTGCTGCTGATTCCTCCTCCTGTTCCTCAAGGCCTCCAGTGGACTGCATAGAGAAAGACATCATAGCATTTTTGGAGACTTTTCAGTCAATACATCTCAAAATGCTTTGCAATTAAAGAAACCGTGAAATCAAAAGCACACGGGTAAAATGAGACACAAAGCTGAAAAAGCACCGAAAGGCAGCCATGAACAGTGAATTTAAAACAGACAGCCACTGGGGCGCCCCTGCAGCTGAGATGCAGAGCTGTGAAAAGCCCTCTTGCCCAGCGTGTGACACCTTGCTGAGGGACTTCCAGCAAACCAGACCCCGATGAGTGAAGAGTGTAATCACTCAGTACATCCTGGAGTCGTTATGGTTGAAAAACGCACAGAATACCAGCCTGCGAGCTATCGATTCCTTATATTGATCAGAGTCCGATGGCGCAGACTGACAGGGTTTTAGTAATATCATAAGAAAAGCTGAAAATAAAATCATAGAGCACGGGTGGAGACACTGTCCAGTTGTGGTGTATTGGTTCAGTGCACAGAACGACAGCATAGTCTCATTGGTTGAAGACCAGTTGTTTGTTTACGCGCATTTAAAATTAAGACCAGGGGTCACTTCGTTAAGTGTTGTGGGAGTGTGGAATAGGCCAACCAGTGATGTTGGATTCAATGTACTGGCTTCTTTCACGAAACAGCTGGTTGAGAGTCTTGGATCTGCTGACTACCGGATGGGCGAGTTGGGCCGAAAGGCTCCTCTTGTTAATAACTGTTCAAACGTTCTTAATCTGCCCCTCCTACTTGCGAATACACTATTGATTGAGCACCACTTGCAGAAAGACTCCAGTCACAATTTTGCCAGTAAAACAGTTGTTTTTTTCTATAGAAAGTAAAGGTAATAACCCTTACACTTCTATAGCGCTTTTCTGGACACTCCACTCAAAGCACTAGACTCCCCTCCACCACCACCAGTGCGCAGCCCCACCTGGATGATGCACCAGTACGCTTCCCACCAGCTCTCAGTGGGGAGGAGAACAGAGTGATGAAGCCAGTTCAGAGATGGGGGTTATCAGGAGGCCATGATGGGTAAGGGCCAATGGGAAATTTTCAAGAAACGCCCTGGGATTTTTTAATGACCACCCAGAGTATAGTGATGGGGCATTAGGACTCACACAGACTGCAGGTTGAGCGCCCCCTGCTGACCCCACTAACACCTCTTCCAGCAGCAACCTGAGCTTTTCCAGGAGTCTCCCCTCCAGGTGCTGGACAGGCTCATACCTGCTTAGTATATATATATATAAAAGTAATATTTGTTTCAGTGTAACTACTTACAGGATACTAATTATTACTTCTCCCCTTTGCTTCCCATTCCTTCAGGAACGGTACAGGGGTTTTGTCAAAGAGAAGTTTTACCTTTGCACTATATAAGTCTCAACACCGCCTTACCCTCTTGTTTCTATACTGACACCACTGCCTTCGAACAAATCTTAGGTATTTCTAGAGTAGGGAAGACCCATGTGTGGGCCCCAGACACAATTATTTCCAGTGCCTCACCTGACGACAGCAGTAGGGACTGGAGGAGGGAGGGGCGGAGGAGGAGGAGGAGGAGGGGCAGGAGCTTGTGGTGCCTCTTGTGATTGGTCAGTCTCAGGAGGAGAGGATTCGACTTGTTTCAACTTTTCCTGGAGCTGGTTCACTGGGAGTGAATATAGAGGTGATGTGAAATGACATTAGGAAACATACAAAAACCACAAGACACAGGCCAAACCCATCAAGCACCAGCAAATGTGCAACATTTTGTTTCAGGTGCTGTATTTAGCACCTTGTTTTTTGCTCTTTGGCGATGGAACCGAATGATGCTTGCCAGGTCTGACACCCAGGGTTCCTTCAAGAAATGGCTGGATGAGGTCCCTGAATTGATTAGTTAACTCAGTTTAGAATCAGCAAGTGATAATCATTTCATTTTTCTCAAATCCCTGCACCACATGGGGAGAATAAGGACCTGAGCACTCAGTACTCGGACGCGCCAGCATCAGAGAAGAGTGTGTAAGGAGAGCTATTCCAGCACGTAGGCATGTCTCTCAATAATTATAATAATTGCTTACACTTATATAGCGCTTTTCTGGACACTCCATTTAAAGCGCTTTACAGGTAATGGGGATCCCCTCCACCACCACCAGTGTGCAGCCCCACCTGGATGATGCAACAGCAGCCATAGTGCGCCAGAACACTCACCACACATCAGCTCTCAGTAGGGAGGAGAGCAGAGTAATGTAGCCAATTCATAGATGGGGATTATTAGGAGGCCATGATTGGTAAGGGCCAATTGGAAATTTGGCCAGGACACCGGGGTTACACCCCTACTCTTTTTGAGAAACGCCCTGGGATTTTCAATGACCACAGAGAGTCAGGACCTCGGTTTTACATATAGTGTCGCCCGTCACTATACTGGGGCATTAGGACCCACATGGACTGCAGGGTGAGCACCCCCTGCTGGCCCTACTAACACCTCTTCCAGCAGCAACCTTAGTTTTTCCCAGGAGGTCTCCCATCCAGGTACTGACCAGGCTTACACCCGCTTAGCTTCAGTGGGCTGCCAGTTGTAAGTTGCAGGGTGATATGGCTGCTGGCCTCAATGACATCACTGCACGCTTGCACACTCTCAGGGGTCACCAGGAGTCACAGCAGCATGGCAAGAGCAAGAGATCTGAACCAGCTCTGTCCCACACGATCGCTGTGGCTCTCAGCTGGTTTGTGCACTGTCACCTGGAGAATCCTGCTCAGTCAACTAGCCAGAAAGCCCGGGCTCAGACTGGCAATGCGTGGACTGAAGAGCTGAGCCCGTACTCCAGTTCACTACCTTCGCTTGTTGAGGCACTTGGATGACCTCTTAATCTGACTCGTTAGAGCTCTTAGTACTTTACTGTATCTATCCACCACACGCTGTAATAACGATGCCGCCTGCTTGTGTTTTACTCAGCTTTTCCATGGGGACGAGGCTGACAGGGAACCACCTGCAGTAACACTGACTGAGAATACACTACACCAGCCCTGCGGCACGTACCCGCCTCTCGGAGCTCCGCCACAGTGCGTTGAGCTTCGTGGACCTGGCTCTCCATGTTCCTCTTCTCCTCCTCACACACCTCCAGCTGCGCCTTCACGCCCTGCAGCTCGTTGAGCAGGGAGCTCTCCTCCAGTGCAGCCTGTGTCCCCGTCACCTGCAGAGACAAACACACACAATAATTCCCCGTGCGCGTCACCCTGTGCCAGCACTAATCCACCACCAACATTGTCCCTGCAGGTGTGGTTTCATCACAGGGATCCATGCTGCTGTCTTTTTTGACTGCATTAAGATAAAATCACTTTATTGGCCATATACAATTTCATGTAGTAGGAATTTGTCTTTTTTATAGACCCCAGCTTGCTCTCCACGAGACACACAGACACAGACAGGGAGAGAAGCTGGGGTCAGCCATTTCTACGGCGCCCCTAGAGCAGTTAAGGGCCTTGCTCAGGGGCCCAAGAGTGTAGGATTCCTCTGCTGGCCCGGGATACGAACCAACAACCTTCCAGCCACAGGCGCAGATGCTTCGCCACAGAGCCAGCGATGAAAGCGTTGTTGTCGTTGTGTTGACCCGGGGAGCAGTGTGAAGCAGCGGTGAGCGAGGAGCCTCACCTTGCTGCAGTGCTGCAGCCGGAGCTCCTCCAGGATAGTGGTGATCTGGGCCAGCTGGTTCTGGACCTGCAGCAGCTGTGGCGTGGGCTCAGGACTCTGCAGCAGGAGCAGGCTTTGCCGCGACGCCTCCTTGTTTTTCACCAGCATCTGGGGCAGAGCGGATCAGGTAAAATCTTTGGAGTGACCACACCCTTGACCTTTCCCTGTGTCCTGCATGCCCTCCCACTTCATCTCATTGCCCCGTCCTACACCTTTACTTTCCTCTGGGTGTCCTTTGTGCCTCGATCATTTTGTTCCTGTTAATGAAAAGCCATGAAGGAATGAACGGTCTTACACGTTACACGTTGACGTCTCAGTTCATACAATTAATCTATTGATTGATTAAGTGATTGATCGAATGATTGATTTAAGAAAAGCCAGAAAAGAAACTGGGCCCTCCAGGTTTGCATCCGAGACCCTCTGCTCTACAGACGCTGGAAAGACAGCTCAGCACTGAAGGGACAGCTTGAACTGGGCTACTGGGTCTATACGTAAAATGTGTGAATAAACACAATTTCTGCAAGTTAGAAACAGAAGGAAGAAAAGGGGAAAAAGCCAGAGGAAGTGGGGGATCCCTGATCAAGATGTGCGACTTTCACTTCCAGAGCTGAGTGTTTCAGTCTGACTGCAAGAGGAAGTGTCCACAGAGAAGCTCTGGCTCATGAAAACTGGTGAGGTTAGAGCTGCAGTAGCAAACATATTAATAACCTCAACTCACCCCTCCAACAAACTGGAGATGACAGAATGACGGCTGCCTTGCATAGACTATATGTGTATGAATTAAGGTGCCACGAAGTTTTATTTTAATCTCTTCTCTCTTAGCACTGTCACCTTCCTCATACCGTGGAAGAGACAGTGAGTCTGTAGAGAAAATGACTGACTTTCTGAAGGCCACAGTTCCTGTTCTCATGAGTGCTGTGGCGTTTCTGGACAGGGGCTAGGGAGCAGGTATGGATTGTCAAGCAGGATGTGATTTCAGGAGGGCTGTGCTGCAGTCGATCCTCAGAATGAACACTCTGGCATTCATCACCCTTCACTAGGTTGCTGACTTGTGGACCCATTCCCAGACACATGTGATCTCTACATCTCTACATCTCGCTGGAGGGTTATTTGTGAGTACTGCTCAGAGAAGCTGGAAATGATGGAGATCTCACAAGAGCCAGTTGTCTGTCCTCAAGTTCCTGAGGGTCAAAATCTCTAAGCTGTGCTGTAAGGACATTTTTTGTCACTGTTTACACTGATTACTACCTCATCAAAACATTTTTAATGAGCTCTTGGATGAGGAAGAAAGCTCCTTTTTGAATTGAAACCTCCTGGTTCCATTATTTTGGAACGTAGAAAATAATAATGTTATTTAATAACAACAACACATTCAGATTCTTTTGGAGCATATGTGCACATTTCTCCATGAGAACATATTCTGTATTCTAAATGGATAAACTGGAAAGTTTGCAGAAATTCTCAGAAGATCTATGGATGGTATACCATCCAGATGGGGAATTAAACCAATAATGATTCAGACATCAACATCAGAACCTACGAAGGGTTATTTTTAGGTTACTTTTTAAGGCTTTATGGTTGATGTAGCTCATTTGATAGTTCACAGCTGGATCTCATTCAGCATTTTCCTGAAAGAAGTTGGGGTATCAGCTTCAATAATATGGCATTTTGGCTGTCTTAGGCAGCTGATAAACACATATTGACGTTATATATTAAACCGATGCCCCAGTACAACACAGCGTCTCCACCAACATTTAAACCCAGCTGGATAACCAATTTTTTTCCAGTAGCAGAAAGACTTTCAGCTCGTTTCTGGCCATTGTCCGAATCCATTATTTTCCACCGCACGTGGTTTTAAAGCTTGGTTTGCCGCCGTCAAGCGGCAACGAGAACAAAACTGAACGGGCTTCGGAGACAAGCACACAAATGGCCAAATAAATCGTCCCTGTTCTAACAGCGGCGCTTTCCAGCCCTTCGGGGTCGACTCAGCTCCGCGTGAACTCCAGGACCCCCCTTTTCACCACAAGAAGCGGCCATTGTGAGGCGGTCTGTACTCGAGCGCTGCGCTGAATACACGCAGCCTGCAGGCGGACCACAAAGGCGGCCGTCAGCGCGGACAATGCGCATGTCCTCTGGGGCCGGCGCTCAATAGCGCACTGCCGGGCGGGGTGTGTGGCGCCGCCGCGGTGCAGGGGCAGCCCCTTGAAAACGGCCCTTGTGGAGGTACCTAATTAACGGGGGGACCCGGGACAGGTCTCAAAAGGACATTGTTTGTCTGCGTAATGGGCAGTTGCCATTCTTCACACGCCAGCTGTCAAAACTGCCGGCTGTTTAAAAGCAGCCTGTCCTTTCACCCCTTTTCTTCTCCATTGTGGGATTCTATTTGCACAACATTGCTAATTACTGCACCGGGCCTGTGAATAAGCCCCCCGTTCACAAAGGACAGGCTGGATGCCTCAATGGAGAAGTCTTCTCTCCTGGCCTTGGGGCTGGCTATTGACACAACACAGAGAAACAGGTTATTCTGCATCTTCCTGGGGTTTCACATTCATTGATATATTAAGGCAATTAGCAGAGGGCTAAACATGCCTCTCTCTGCACTCTGGATAACTGCAGCTTCACGCTGCTCTTGCGGTGTTGCCCCCATGCTCACCACCAGAGTTTCCTGATCACTGTCTCTCTGTCCAGCCCTGGAGTTCTGCTCAGAGGTCTTTGCTGATAGAAAACTCTTTCTTTCGTCCTCCTTCTTTTGTTTCTCACTCACGAATTGTGCTCCCACTTCCTGAGCCCCTGCAGGTCTCCAGCGTCCCAAGTATAAAAATTGTCTCTGATGGAACAAGAGACCTGTGTGTGAAGCTTGGTTGAGTAAAGTTTTAAAGTATGACATCATCTGACCAGAGCAGATGGTTTATGTTCGGTATAATCAACAACTTTGCAGCGTGCACAGACACTCTTTGCCTTGACAACTTCGGTGCAATGCAATGCCCGACCCAGAAAGGACAAAAGCTGCACCTCGAAGCTGACCCCTTGGCATCATTCAGTGCCTGACTGATATTTATACAGCATGATGACTTCTAATCCAGAGACGTTTTAATTGAGAAATGGACAAGTCTAATGCAGCAGAGCTCAGTTGCATGTTTTTCATTGTAATGCTTTCGTCATGATCATGAGGTGGTGCAGCTTTCTTTAAATGGATCACCAGAGGTCTGGTGCAGAGGGGTACCTGGTGAGCAAAGACCTCTGCATGTTGTCTGAGGTCCTGTTCCACCTCCAGCCTCTGGGACAGCTCACTGTGCTCCTGGGACACCAGCTGGGACACTGTAGACACACACATACATAACTGCGGTTAATGTGTTTAATTGAAATTAACTACTGCCAAAAGTAATGCAAAAATGTGAAACTGCATTCCCTGTTTTGTTAGCCAGCTCAGGTAGAGACCTCTAACCTGTCAGGAACTGCAGCCTCCGGGTATTGTGTGGCCTCCGGGTATTGCACCACAACATGAGTGCACAAGTGCAGCAGACAGAGGGCCGGGGCTGAGGCTACAGCGAATTGTCAGACCACCTTGATCAGCTACATTTTGGCTAACGTAGGACAGCAGGGCACCATCTCAGGAATGAAAACGAGAAGATTGCAAAAGTACGAAGGTGAGTCCAGAGAAAGAGATTTACCTTTCTCCCCCTCACTCCATTTTGCTTCTACCTTTGTCTCATGTGCTAAAAGCACACTCAGTCCCCCATACTGTTGCCTGGAGGTGAAAGAGTCTGAGTTGCATCTGCTCTTCAAAGATGGAGCCATGCCGATTCACTGTCTATTCCAACAACTCACCTCTCTACCTGACATGTGTGACATGCTGTGCTCATCATGCAACAGGCGGAATTAGTGTCCTTGCACTGTGCAGAGACCTGCACAAGTGTTCAGTCAGGACAGGTTTTGCAGCAACCTTGGATGAGACAGAGCCCTCTCTCAGTGTATTACTCTCACGGTTTGTCCAGAAAGCTCCAGTGTCCTGGGCCTTTGGAGTGTGTGGGGTGTCCTGGAGTTTCTGTGTCATTGGGAAAGCTCCCTGGTGTCTCCTGGAGTGAGTCTGCTCTCTCCGCGTGGCCGTTGGCGTGCCTCTCTCTCTACGGTTCCTCACCTCGGCTCAGCCTGTGCAGGGTCTTGCTCTGCTTGTTCAGTCTCTTCAGAAGGCTCTCCTTCTCCTCTCGCTCCGCTGCCAGCTGTGGAGGAGAGCCGACGCCCAGATCCAATGACACACTTGTACTCCCAGCTCCTAACATTCCACCTCAAGGGCCTGGGACTCCATGCGGTAACATACAGGAGTTCTGACTTCCTTCCCAATCAATTTGTTTATTGCACTTTCATAGACGACAAAAGAACATAATGTGGTACTAAACTTCTTTTGAGATGGCAGGTTATAAGGATTTATAGCATCCATGAATGTGAAACTTCTAGCTCCGTGTACAGGACAACAGCACAGCTGTGTGTGGACATAAAAGTCAACCTCCATATAATAATGTGAGAAAAAAAAAACTTTGTCCGGGAAAACTCCTAAAATACTGAACCTAGACTAGCCCCGAGTCCCCAGGATAATACAAGTAGACTACGTGTGAACCTGGCTTGGCACTTCTGTCAGTAATGTCTGCTCTCAGTGCTGCAGCAGTCATCAGAGCACTGAGACGCCGACTCCCTGGGACAGACACCGGCATTGTGCCCACATGCTTGTCTCAGTGAAAAGCTCGTTTCAGATGCACAGGCAGATTCCTGCAGCGGATACCTGCTCCCTGAGCCTGGCCTGCTCCCTCTGCAGTGCCTCCACCTGGGCAGACAGGTGGTTCTTGTCTCCCAGCAGACTGGCCAGAGAGCCCTGCAGCTCTGCATCGGGAGAGAGACAGAAGGTTATTACTGTCACCAGCTGCAACACTGAGACTCCACCATTCCTATCACTGCTAACAAGAATCACCATTATCATTGCAGTCAAGGCACATTACTTCTTGAACTCAAACTAGTAAGTTCCTAACAAGCCCATAACCCCTCTTCTGTCCCTTTAGCTGCTTGACCTGAGGATTCTCACACTCAGACACAGAAGCACCTTTTCGTCTGGTCCAGTCTCTGGTGCTGTGAGAGTGGGAGCCCCCAGCTCTCCAGCCTCTCAGTGCAGTCAGGCAGCCCCAGGAGAGTGCTGGGGACCCTACCTCTGATCTGAGCCTGGCAGTGCAGCAGGGACTCTGTGGCAGGGTCGGGGTCGGTGTCGGGATCCGGGGAGAGGGCCACGCTCTCCAGATCCTCGGGGATCTCGGGAATGAGAGGCAGCAGTGCCTGGCTCTGCCTCTTCAGGATCTTGTTCTCCTTCGAAATCTGGCACAGCGGGGAGGGAGAAAGTATCTTACTAGCACTGACATTACACACTTGACCTTTCACCTTTAAGAATTGCTTCCAGTTGTCTTGGAATGGGATGGAAAGGAATTCTTAATATTGACCATGTGATGTGCGATGTTAACTTTGAAAGCTAGAATTTGAATGTATGATCACTTAGAGCCTTAGGTTATGCGTAACTGTCTCCTTCTGTGTGTTTAGAGCAACAGCAGTGGTAGAAAATGCAGAAGTCTTGAAGCATATGCAGTCTATATATAACAAGACTCATTGCAGTGAGTGAGTTCCAGAAGTGATGTCACCTCTTTGACACCTGGACAGTGTAGAATTCTCTTACTGCAGAGGCTCCAGTCTTTTACTGTAGGAGAGTAGTCAAACACCTGAACCTGGCCACCTATTGAACAAAGACACTGAGCCATCTATTTTGGAGTGCTTTAGCGTGATCCGAGAGCAGGTGAGGAGGGAAACGAGTCCAGCCCCTGACCAGGCTGCTCTTTCATTTGATTTTTAGGATTCCCAGCATTCTTGGATTTTGTTAGAACACTAATGTTAATGTTATATTATCAAAACAGCCCAACAATAGCCAGAGACTCTGCTGTACGTTTGTGCTGCAATGGAGACACCAGCCTGTCAGCGTGACGTTGCTGCAGCAGCGCAGCACATTGCTTTCCCTCACAGACTTGCACCTCCCCGTGCACTGAGATTAGTACTGTATCACCACACAGCCGTCAGCCATCTTTCTTCAATTAGACTCCTTGCACCCCAGAAGACAAATCAAACTATCTGCCTTCATTGCATAATCTAAGTTCAAGTTCAAGACTTCGTTGCCATCACAACCAGTTGCATGGAATTTGGTTTGGTGAGCTCATACGATTAAAGGACATCAATAGAAATATACAAAACAGAGCCAATAATAAAGAGCACCAACCCAACACATCTCCATATCCCGTCCAAACACACATCGGTAATTAGATCAATACCAATTAGATCAATACTGCAGAGATGCAGTGATCTTGCATCTCATAGCCTCTAGACAAATACTGCTATCTGGACTACCTAGTAGTCCTTATCTTAATTGTCCTGAGCCTCGTACCAGAGGACAGGAGTGTAAACAGAGGCTGGGCTGAGTCCACAGAGGGAAGGCAGCCTCCTATAATTATGGTCTCTCTAGCTGCTTCTTGTCATGGGATAAAGTGTTGCCAAACCACACAGTGATGGAGGAGGTCAAGACACTCTCAGTGAAAGATCTGTAAAAGAGGGTCATTGCTTCCTGTGACACTGCAAACCCCTTTAACTGGCTCAGGAAGAACAGCCTCTGGTGAGCTTTCTGGACCATAATAAATGTGCTCACCTCCCATTCTAGAATACAGGAGGTGGTTGTGCCCAGCAGCACTCAATTCTCCACTACCTTTACAACCTGACCATTGATCTACAGTGGTGAGACTGCTCCCTTGCCTCGCCTAAAGTCCACCACACGTTCTTTTGTTTTATTGACATTTATTTCCAGTTTGTTTAGGCTACACCACACTGTTCCACTAATTCAGATACTTCATTCCTGTTTACTGACTCATTGTTGTTTGTGATGTATCCTATAGAGACAAAGAATCACATTATATGACAGTACTTTAATCCTAGAGCAGTCCAACTATCTGGGTGTTTTTCCATCCTTGGATTCACTGAGGAAGAGCGAGTTCTGTGCTGCTGGGAGAGCAGGAGTTTGTGTCATAGTTCTCCATCTAAGAGAGTGACATCTTTCTGCAAGGAGCAGGCAGCACATCAATAGAAAGACAGACCCATGGGCAGATGAGAATAAAACATCTGGGCATTAAAAGCATAACTGATATTGCAGAGGCCTGCTTTTGTCTTAGAGGAAACTGCAAAACTGAGTGTGTGCGAGCAGTGATTGCATAATTAATACTGGGATGTGAAAACATCCTGCTGTGTAACACAAGCTACTAGATAACCTATTCTGACAGAGATGCTAACAACAGAATCTGGACCCCTATTTACTAAAAATCTGTCACTATCTGGATTAGATCAGTCGAATTTAGGAGATCCAAATGAACCCCAATCTTGTTTTGTTAGTGTAATGCAGTGACATAACCCTCTTAGGAACCGATATCATTGACCACTCCAGTGGTGGGAGACTCAGATGTTTGGCGCAGTGGAGTTCTTCCCCTCTGAGGGCTGGGACATTCAGAAGAACTGTGGTTGAAGATGCTTGACAGGTGCACAGTTGTCATGTGCCATGACAGTAATATTAAATTAACCCTTGAATGGACCGACGTGATGGCATGGACCTCTAATTTAAACCTTTTCTTGCGGGGGTGTTTTCATGCCTGGGAAATTTATGTGTCTGTTAAAGTTTCCAACAGGCGCGTGGTTAAGAACTCAGGTGGTCACCTGAGAAGGTGAGAAGACTTGGACTCAGGTGAGAAGACTCATGTGGTCAAGAATGATGTTATAGTAAGTGGCACAGCTCATGTGTGTCTTGGTTTAAGAAGGGTTACTGCTAAGTTAAGGCTAAGACTGGTCTTTTGGTTACTTTTGAGTTAGCTGAAGCATCAATCAGGTATACAGAGATGCTGATATAAAATCCTGAGTCTGTACAACCTTCATGTGACCATTTCATCAGACCCATTTAGGGCAGTTGTCTCAATTAGCTAATCGGTTGTTAATCGGGTGAATTGTGAAATAAAGGTCTTAAAAACAGTGTCATTCACCTTCAGGTGTAATAATCCTTGCAATCAATTTCAAAGACATGGATTTTGAGACACGTTGCTTACAGTAGTTGTAGTTCTTAAACCAATACAGATTAAGAAGGCTGCAGGAGGACATCCCGGGAAAGCAAAGAGAGAAAGACAGAGTTACTTACCCTCATTCCTGTTTATTTCTGGTAAAGACAAGTGTCTGTCCAGAGAACAAGATCCTACCTTAGCAGCAAAGTCCTCAGCAGTTTCTCTGCAGGAGCGTTCAATCTCAAACTGCACCTCCAGGGCACTGATCTCCTGCAGCAGCTGCAAGGACACTGCAAATCCAGACACACACATCTGAATTCCTACATGCATGAGAAATTTCCATGAGCTTTCATTCTGTTCCCCTCTCAAAAGATAAACCCTCATCGGACGACAATGATTGTAAAAAATTTTCCCAAACAGCTGTGTCAGTCACTGTGGCCTGCCTGGGCCACACCCTTTAAGTTAGAGTTCTTTGATGTCTGTCTTTATTGAAAGTGGGGATCTGATACATAGTGTAGATCTGTAAGAACCTGTGAAAAATGGCCATAGGCATTGTGTGTTTGTGTTCTGTGTTCATGTGTTTTTGTAAATGAGTAATAAGTTTATTCCATGCTGAAAAGAGAAGAAAGAAAACACGTTTTGGCTGTGGAGCCTTCTTCTGGTGTAATATAGCGTGGGAAAACACAAGCCAGGAGAGAGGAGCAGGCAGGAGCAGGAGAGAGGCAGAGTGGCCAATCAAGTGGTGCGAGGTCAAGAGAGTTGAGGAGAGGTGGGAAACGAAACCTACAAACAAATAGAGAGAATTAGAAGAAAACATGTCTGTCGTTGAGAGGAGGGGGAAGGTGTGAACCAAGTTTCAGGATAATTTTCGTTTCTGTTGTCTTTCTGCTGTTGGAGTTGAGAAACCCTTCTATGAGAACAGAGACAGAGAGATTAGAGTGGTTGTGGCCGTCAGAGGTGAAATGAGAAACTACGAGCTTGGAGAGATCTTTAATCTTCACAGCCCTGACGTGCTCTGAAGCGGTCTCCGAGTCTCCTTCCTGTTTCTCCAATGTAGAGAGAAACTGGGCATTTACTGCAAGAGATACAGTAAATAAGGTTGCTGGAGGTACAAGATGCCCTCTGGGAGATGCGGAATTGTCCTGAGGGGCCTTGAATGAGTGTGGTGTTAGATGTGTACTTGCAGGTGATACAGCGAGCCCTGTTGCAAGGGAAAGTGCCTGGTGTGGATAGGTGCTGAGGGTGGTCAAGGGAGCTGTGAACAAGAAGGTTGCGCAGATTAGGTGCTCGGCGATATGAGATAATGGGGCGGTCAGGAAAGAGGACCCCAATGGAGGGATCATCCTGTAGGATGGAAAAGTTGTCGTTAATGGTCCTGGGGACAGAGAGTGTGTTAGGTTGGTGGGGAAGCACCAACGTTCCTGATCGAGTGGATGGTCCGAGGGCTGTTTTTGGCTCAGGTGAGGACCCTGTCAATAACATGGGTAGGGTATCCTCTGTTGATGAAAAAACATTGCATTTTGAGTGTCCTCGGATCATTTACTCGATCAGGAACTCCCAGCCTAACAATCGCATTCCTTTGGTGCTTCCCTAGCTCCCTAACACTCTTCTCTTTTCAGCTGGGAATAAACCCATCACTTGTTCCTTTGCAGCCTACACATGCTGACGCAGCTCCCCACCTGAACTACTTCATTGGAAAAAAGTGTCTGTTTTAAGTTTTACACCAGGTTATTACTTTGTAACTTCACTGCACAAAAAAAGAAAACGTGTTTTGTTATACTGGGCATTCGCTGATGATAGAGAGTAGAATTGTTAACTGTTGTGAAATTGCTTGCAGAGTAAGCAGCTGTCAGGACTTGATTAGATACTAGACAGCACTAGTCAATTAGATACTAGTGCTTGTTTTATGATTCCACCCATCTATCTTCTAATCTGCTTACCCGGTGCAGAGTCAAAGGGGGAGCCAGACCCCATCCCAGCAAGCGACAGGTGCAAAGCAGACAGGAAGGCCTGTCTATTGCAAGGCCCATACAGACACAGACACGCGCACACTCACACCAGGGCCAAGTTTACAGAGCCATTAGCAAAGCCAGTCAGCAATGCTACCCACTGTGCCACCCTGATGTATAATTCTGCCCTCCACAACCCCAGTTTGTACAGGATGGTGTTATTCTGTCCCTGCAATCCTGGCACTGCAGGGAAAGGTCACTTACCATGTTCAAGCTCAGACAGGTTCTGCTCCTCCTCATCCCTCTCCAGCAGCAACTCCTCACACTGAGAAACACAGATAAAGTCACTGTCATGGTGATGCTTGAGAACAGAAGAAAGGCTGTGATCGAGAAAGGACTTTCAGCTCATCTTGCTCATTTGGTTGGTCAAACTGAAACCTTCCAAAGATGTCACAAGGGTCCCATGTGATACCCATGGTATCAGTTTCAGTGACACAGTGTGGCCTGGCAGCCTGTTACAAACTCCCACGTCCCCGTGCCGAGGTGAGTGGTGCACAAGTTAGAGTGTGAAATTGAACTGCAGAACGTGGCACAAATGCATGACTGACCAGAGGCTGTGCGATGGAGGACAGATTAGGTAAGTAAGAAATGTCTATAAACTAGAAAACCTGTGCTCTCTAGCTGTCTTGCTGCAGCAGCTGTTGGGTAATAATCTCTCCAGGTAGAATTTGGAGTGTGAAAGCAATATAAACTGTCTCTTCAACAGCTGCCATGAAAGAAGTTTAGTTTTGTATATTCCTGTATCCCGAGAGTCAGCTTACCCACTACTGTAAAGATCCAGTTTCCAGTCTTGTGCATCATCTAGACTTCCACCTCTGTCCGGAAGTTCCTGTTTCACTAGTAAACCAGCCCACTGGGTTTATTTTGTTAACAACTGTCAGCCATTTGAACACTTGCAGTGTGTTTAATCCATTTAATAGTCTCTTTTGTCCTAGACTAAAATAATCCCTTTCCTTAAGCCCATCAGTATATCACATTCCTTTACATCCTGTGTATTACGCTTAATTCTTCTTTTTGACTGGATCCCAGAGAAGCAATAGTTGAATTTTTTGGGTAGGAGTGTAGCATGGCAACTGAAATTGCAAGCACAGGCTTGTTAAAGCACTGAATCATTCTCAAGTCCCCCGGAGTGCTACAGCTATATTTCTGCTGACGCCTTTTCCCCATTGAGGTGTCAGTCATAGTCAGAAATCTGGGAGTCAGTCTCAATCCTCTCCTGTCTCACACGATTTTCAACACTTTCCATTAGTTGCTCAGGGCTTGATTTTAGTAAAAGCGTTCAAGTCCAGCTACTGTAGTATTGCTTATTAATTGATGAAATACCCTCTATATAATCTAGGATCATTTTGTGAAATAAACAGTGTTTTATTTATATGATATGTGGTATGAAAACATACAAAATAATAATAATCACATGCTTGTTGCAATATTATTATTATGAATACTTATACTTTTCTGGTATAGTTTTCTTTATTGTAAATCAGAAAGGACAGTGGACCTAAAATAGACCCCCATGGTACTCCACTATTGACCTCAGCCTACATGTTATGCATCTCTCCATGTTCTGCCCAGAAACCATTTAACAAACTATGCACACAGGTTACTTAGGATTCCCACAACTTTCCATATGAGAATTTAATGCAGAACCATTTGTACAGAGAATTTCGCAACAGTACGACAGGCTTGCTGACAGATTTAACAAGGACATGACTGTTCTTGGGAAAAGCAGCCATCAAGCAAAAGCTGGATTAAATTGGAATTATTATCATTGCAGATTTTACATTTCCTTCATTCCCTGCTTGATAAGTATAGGATATTCACCAAATACAGAAAAAAACAGTAGATGTAGTTTATAAAGACCATTCTATAATCATTCAGGCTTAGATTTGTCAACCACAGTGCTGGTTTGTCTCAGTAACAACTGTACCCATCATATTTGAAAATCTACCTGAATTTCCTCTTCATTCTCAGAGGAGCTGCTGCTGTCTTCTTGGAAACCTGTTGAAATAAATGTAGAGAGAGACACTGACAACATTTAACTAAAGCCTTAACATAATGTATGCCAGCAGTCATATCACCCTGCTACTCAAAACTGGCAGCCCACTGGAGCTCAGCAGGTGTGAGCCTGGCCAGTACCTGGATGGG